CTTTTGGTGCTTGAAGGGGCTTGGTGATGCAGTATACGCCGTCAAACGTAAAGTGTTTTGCTTGCTTGTTTGGTATAAGCAAGGCCACCAGGCGTCTAATAAAGTGGGGTAATTCCTCCAATGGCACCGCTTCGGATATCCCCCTGATCTTTAAATTTTTCCTCCTTCCCCTGTCGTCTAGTTTATTAACTTGCCTTGATGTATTTGCCTGTTCTGCTTGCAGCTGGGTGATTTTGTCGCGCATTGAGTGTAAGTCTTGGCGCAATTCACTCACGTCCTGTGCAGTGACCTGGGCCTGGGCTGAAACCACCTGCTCCTCTGCTGCCAGCCCTTTCAGGTCTGCCTGCCACATTTGTTGTAAATTCCGTTGCAGACTGGCTAGCATAATCTGAATGTCCTGCTTGGTTGCTGGGACAATAGTATCCATGTTGTGGGTGTGTGGTCTGCCTAGTTCGACCGCGGTCATACTGTGCAGGGAGTCTTCGTCCTCTGATCTCTCTTGGGAGGCTGCTGTGGCGGCTCTGGTCCATGCGGGCAGGGGGTTTTGCAGCATGCTCCCTATATCTTGGTGGGATGAGTGTGCCGTTGACACTTGCTTGTGGGACTTCTGTCCCATGTCATCCGTGAGACGGGGGTCTGCAGTGGTAAATTGCGGGCCTGCTTCCAGCCACGCCGTCAGTTCTCTGGCGAGGTTCTGGTCGCGTGTGCGGTAGGCCCTAGCTCCCTTGACGTGGCGTTTTGTGCCCGCTGGTTGGAAGACAGAAATCTGCAGATTCAGCTGGATGATTGGAGTCTGTGCCTGTAGCCCTTTTCTGTCGATCAGCCATTTATGTCCTGGTTTTGTTCGTTTTTTTGTGCCCTCTAGACGGAGCTGTGGAAGTTGGCGACTGCCTCAGTGTGCCATTGGTCCTCCCCCCCCCTATTTCATAAATTATTACTAATGAAGTTTTCAAATTTTAACCTTTAAATATAAAAGAAAGACTTTATTATAAAGTGTTTTGTTAATAAAATCATGGATAAAAAAACAAAATAGAGAGAAAGCAGATTAAAATAAAGAACTACAGGAAATAACAAGAGGAAACCCAATGCCAACAGGTCCACCTATAATCACAGCTGTGTTTTGTTCTTTATTTCAGCCAATCAGAATCCAGTTTTATATCAAATTGTGGTCACTGACCGGTATAACCATAGGCGATAAACTGGAGTCAAAATGACGGCTGATCTAAGATGCAGACTGTAGCGGATGGCACTGGGCTGTCCTGAGAATTTCATGTATTTTAATGCATTCGTGTGAAAACAGCAAAGTTCTATGTATTTAATGTATTGTATTCGTCTGAATGTTAGGTAGTTTCATTCCCTTAGTTTGTTCGAATGAAACTACCGAACAGTCAGACCTCCCCTGTGTGAACTGTGTCTTCAATTACCCGTTGCAACATTGTTGCGAACGGGTAATTGACAAGCTAAGTAGCCGTCCTTTGTTCTCGGGGGTGGCCGCCATTCGAAAAACGAACACGTGGCGAACAGCGGTGTTTTGCCGTCGAGTGTCTGGAACTCAAATCGGACACTCGACTAGGCGAAAACCGCTGAAACCTCCTCAAGCCCGGTCCATTCGGTTCCCAACTCCCGAACGGCCCCTCGTTCGGTAGATAGAAAGAACCGAACGAGGGGATTCAGACGAACCCTCCCTAGCCTCTGTAGCTAGAGGTTTTTGTGCCGTTTATTCCCTGACTCCAGGACTGACCGCAGGGCCCATTCACATGGAACCTCATTCGGCTGTTTTACCCAGTGCAGTCGGTCATTTTATTCCCTCCATAAATTTCCCGAACCCCTGGTCTGATCTGGGTGATTTTTGGATATGTTGTTCACCCAGATCAGGGCTACCAGGGGACAGGGCCGGACTGGGAAAAAAATGAGGCCCGAGCATTTTTCAATTAGAGCGGCCCCCCCAAGAAGGGGGCGGGGCTAGAGAGGGTGTGTTTTGTCATCACTAATGACAAGTACACCCCCTCTGAAAGTGAGCATGTTGGTACAATGCGCAGAGCCCCGCTGAAGAGCTCTAGCATTAGAAAAAGGCCCTGTATTTGTTCTGCGCAGCGCAAGCAAATGTAATAACATGCTTGCGCTGTGTTTGCTTTTAAATTGTCTCTGGTGTTTCCACAAGTGGAATACCAGAGGACAAAAGGGCCAGGAAAGTGTATGGTGCATGTGTTTGGCACATGCTTGTGGGATTGCCTGTGTGTAGAGTGTGGTGTGGTATTGTGTAAATAGGTCAATTTTGTGGTGTAATATGTGTGGCTAGGGGCTGTAGAGAGTGCGTGTGTAGGGGCATAGTGTTATAGGGGATGTAGTGAGTGTGTGCATATGGGCAGTAGTGTGTGTGTATAGGTGACGTAGTGTGTGTCACTTATACACACACACTACTGTGTGTAGAGAGGGTGTGTTTAGAGAATGTTGTATGTGTTTGCTTACAAGGAATGTAGTGTGTGTGTAGGTGGTGCAGTGTGTGTGCAAGAGATCTAGTGTGTAAAGGACCCAGAGTGTGTATAGAAGATTGTGTGTGTGTAGAGGATTAAGAGTGCATATAGGGTACAGGGGCGGATCCAGAACCAAATCTCGGGAGGGGCACTTAAGTGGGCTAGAGCGGGGTGAAACAGGCTGCAGCGGAGGAATAGGGGACTCTTGTTTAGGGGATAGAGGCTGTACACATATGCGGCCACACACAGTGATATGGAAACACAATAACAGATACAGACACATACACTGGCACACCCACAGATACAAACCTATACCTACACAGGCACACACACACTGGCACATAGATACACACATACCTACACATGCACACTGGCGAAACAGCACACACACATCCCTACACATACACAGAATGACACACATACCTTCACATACACAGATACAAGGTAATAGAATATACAGGCATAACTCCAGGTACTGAAGGTGTATTTATTGGAGGGTAGAACACGTTTCAGCCCTTGGGGGCCTTAATCATGTTTAAGTCCCTCTAGGGCTGAAAAGTTGCACTTTTATGTGGTGTTCTACCCTGGAATAAATACACCTTCGGTACCTGGTGTGTTGCCTGTATATTCTATTACCTTGTATTGTTGGACGGATTAGCAGTGTCTATCTATTCCAGAGCACCTTTGAGGCTGTGGACCAGAGTGAAAAGCGGAACCTGAGTGCAGTGGACGACGACGTCTGTGGTACACACACACAGATACATACTCACAGATTCACACACTGACACTCCGATACACACAGATGTCCACATACCTAAACATACACACTGACACACACAGATGTCCACATACCTAAACATACGCACTGGCACACAGATGCACACATACACACTGACACACACAGATGTCCACATACCTAAACATACGCACTGGCACACAGATGCACACATACACACATACCTAAACATACACACTGACACACACACAGATGTACACAGATGTACACATATCTAAACATACACACACAGATGTCCACATACCTAAACATACACACTGGCACACACAGATGTCCACATACATAAACATACACACTGGCACACACAGATGTCCACATACATAAACATACACACTGGCACACACAGATGTCCACATACATAAACATACACACTGGCACACACAGATGTCCACATACATAAACATACACACTGGCACACACAGATGTCCACATACATAAACATACACACTGGCACACACAGATGTCCACATACATAAACATACACACTGGCACACACAGATGTCCACATACATAAACATACACACTGGCACACACAGATGTCCACATACATAAACATACACACTGGCACACACAGATGTCCACATACATAAACATACACACTGGCACACACAGATGTCCACATACATAAACATACACACTGGCACACACAGATGTCCACATACATAAACATACACACTGGCACACACAGATGTCCACATACATAAACATACACACTGGCACACACAGATGTCCACATACATAAACATACACACTGGCACACACAGATGTCCACATACATAAACATACACACTGGCACACACAGATGTCCACATACATAAACATACACACTGGCACACACACAAATTGCAGCTTCCATAATGTTAAGCACCCTCCCCTCTCCCCTCTGCTTAAATACCTTTTTCTTTGCAGGAAGGTGACTTCCTGAGGCTGGCTGAGCCTGATGGGAGTCTGAAGCTGCAGAGCTCTCTCTCCTCCCTCCTCCTTCTCTTCCAGCTGCCTGCTGCCTGCTGCCTGTGTCTTCTCTCCCAGCTGCATCCTGGGTGTTCTCAGCCCGCGCGGTCTGTATGCTGGGAGGAAGTAACAGTCACTTCCTCCCAGCACTCCCTGCAACTTTAAAGGGGCCCGGTCTGCCAAAGGGCTGCAGCACCCGACCGAGCCCCTAATGAGGTCCCTCAACTGATGGCAGCTG